GTGGATGAATGGATGAGTGCATAGATGGATGGATGAATGGGTGGATGAATGGATGAGCGCATAGATGGATGGGTGGATGAATGGGTGGGTGCATAGATGGATGGGTGGTTAGATAGAAGAATAGATGGATGAATGGAAGGGAGGAAGGACAGATGGACGAATGAAAAGAAGGGTAGATGGATAGAATGATGGATAGAAGGATGGATGGATGGATGGATGGATGGATCAATAAATTGAATGCAGGCTAGATTCTAGGTGAGGGATGGCTGAAGCAATTGGATACCTTGGTTAAATGGTAACTGGGTCGGCTCCAGAGTAACTGACTGAGAGAAGAGAGGGTGAAGGACTTGGAAGATGAAAGTTGGTTTCCCTTCCCAGATAGTAGGCGCTCAACAGGAGGCGCTACTACGGGGAGGTCGTTGCAGTCAGCATGCAGAGTTCTAAGCTTAAAATACTAGTCTTGGTGGACTCATGATAATTTACATGTTTATGGAGTACGGTGTCACAGTTCAGTACATGTATATACCGTACAGTGACCCAGTCACACCACTGGTTTATCCGTCACTTTAAGCACGTGCCATTTATTTCACAGTGTTGTGCTTTTTCAAAATCCTCAGTACTGGTTATTTGGAATGTTTACTTAATGGTTGTTGATCACAGTGGCCGTACGTATGTACCGGCTAGGTCTATGTTAATTTGATACAGCTAAAATGATCTAAGAGGAGGGAACCTCAATTAATGAAATGCCCCCATATGACTGGGCTGTAGACAGACCTGTAGAGTATTTTCTTAATTAGTGATTGTTTGGGGGACGGTTCACTGTGGGCAGTGCTAGCTCTGGGCTGGTGGTCCTGGACTCTGTAAGAAAGTGAGCTGAGCAAGCCATGGGGAACAAGCCAGTAAGCAGCCCCCCCCCCCTTCCGTGGCCTCTGCATCAGCTTCTGACTTCAGGTTCCCACCCTGCTTGAGTTCCTGCCCTCACTGCTTTTGATGATGAACTGTTGCATGGAACTGTGAGGGAAATAAACCCTTTCCTCCTCAGCTTGCTTTGGGTCATGGTATTTCGTCACAGCAGTAGTGACCCTAATGGAGACGCCATACTTGGCCGTACAATGTTCTAAGATATATATTTGGTACCTACCTTTGCTGCTGTACCTGTTAGACATCTCCCACCTCAGTAATTCTATGACTCGAGAGTTCAAATTAGTAAAGACCCCTGATGGATGTGTCCTTGCCTGGATTTGGCATGCTACAGCTGAGTGACAAGGGATAGGCCTCAAGCTTAGCTCTTGGAGGTGATGGTCAGGGTGGGTTCTCACTCAGTCTTCTCCTCTCCAGACGTGTGCAACAGCACCAACCTTCCAGAAGTTGAGATCATTAGCCTGCTGGAGGAGCAGCTGCCCCATTACAAGCTAAGAGCGGACACCATCTATGGTTACGACCACGATGACTGGCTGCATACGCCCCTCATCTCCCCAGATGCCAACATCGACCTCACAACCGAGCAGATCGAAGAGACGCTGAAGTACTTCCGTAAGTAGCTGGTTCCATCTGTGGGCACAGCAGTGTGATGCCAAGTACTTCCTTGTTGCCCTCACCTCCCCCACCCCCCCACCTCCCATCAGGTCTATCGTGAGTCTTTGTGTGTGTGGAAGGGTGGCCAAGAGAAATATGGCCTTAGGAGTCTTCTTGGTCTGCGTGAGTATTGGGGACCAAGCATTTTCATTTGAAACATGCAGAATAACTTCAAGTTATTCTCATATACCTTCTTTTCCAGTTTAGAAAAATAATAACTTGTTGTATTTATTGGGTATTATTTTATATGCACATCATGTTACATGCAGTGCCTGAGAAGGCCAGAGAGGGAGTTGGATGCTCTAGAACTGGAGTTACAGATGGTTGTGAGCCACTGTGTGGGTGCTGGGAATTCAACCTGTGTCTTCTATAAGTGCAGCTAGTGCTCTTAACTACTGAGCCATCTCTCCAGCCCCGTCGTTTCCCCTATAAACCCCCATTAAGAGTGAATCTGTTTGCATTTAAAACAAATATTCTAAGTGTTGTGTTAGAGGGCAGCTAATATCCAGACAGATCACATCAGGTCAGCACAGCTCCACGTGAAGAGGTTTATTAGGAGAAAGCGGGGAAGAGAAGAGGATGAAGGGGGCAAAGAAGAAGAAAGGGCAAGGGGTTTGGGGTCTCTGCCTTTTATTCGGGCTGTGAAGTAATCATGTGCACCACTGTGCACAGGTGAGGCAGCACAGGTGAGGTGGCGCTCAAGTGTACACTGGGAAATGTGTGGCGGTCGCCATGGCAACAGATGCCTGGAGTAACGTCATTGCTGGATTCGGAGGCTGTAGACAGCTTCTGATGCCAACAGTAAGGAAATCTAGGCAGCTTCCATCAGTGTAGCAAAACCTCACTGTGTGGAAGCTGGTTAAGCTGGAACAGAGTAGTACAGCAGTACAGAGTTAAACCTCTAGGTGGCAGAGCTGCTTCCTGTCAGGTGAGCTTCTACTTAGGGAAGCCTGGAGGCGAGGAGGAAGGGCGTGGGAGTGCTGTGTGCCCTGCTGACAAGAGAAAGATTTAAACATTAATATTTACTGTTACTAATGTTTATTCAAATGACAGCTGCTTTTCATTCCTTCTTTCTCCTCTTTTATTCTTTGAATGCTGGGATTTGAACCAAGGGTCTTGTACATGTTAGACAAGTATTCTAACAATTTGTAATGGGCTCAGTCCTTAAAAGGGATGACTTTTTAAAATAATGTGTATATATATAATTTTATTTATTTATTTATTTATTTATTTATTTATTTGGACAGAGTCTCACTAGGTAGCCCAAGAAGATTGGAATTTTCTATATAGTCTAGGCCAGCTTCAAATTCATACTGATCCTCCTGCCTCAGCTTCCCAAATGCTGAGATTACAGGGGGGGGGCACCACCACACCAGGCAACACACATTGCGTTATTTTTTCTCCCACAGTTAGACTGAATCCAGGATCTCAAACATGCTAGGCAAGTGCTCTGCCACTGAGTGACCTCCATCTCTGTAGTTCTGTTCTTTAGAGAGTCACACGCTCTGGGGCTGGAGAGATGGCTGAGCAGGTTAGAGAGATTGCTGTTCTTCTAGGGGACTGGAGTTCTGTTCCCAGCACCCACGTTGGGTAGCTCACATCTATCTGTAACTCTAGCGTTGGGGAATCTTACGCCCCCTTCTGGCATCTGTGGGCACTGCACTCATGTACACACTTAAGACAAAATTAATATCCTCTCTGTCACTTACATAGCTGCGTATTTCTCGTTTGCATATTCATATGTCATCACACTACCCCTTTTAAAGACGCATACCAGCCCTGCTTCCCTGACAGCAGTGTCACTGAGAACCAGCTTGCGGTACACCCCTGAGCTTTCTGCAGCTAGAAACCAGTTCACTAGCATAAACCAGTCTTTCCAACTTCCGAGATGATTTATAATAAAACAAATTGCAGCTATGAGACTGTGCTTTAGGGTGTGTGCGGGGCAATTCTCAGGCTCGCTGTATTGGATACTAGTAAGAAGGAATTCTGTTTGAATTGGCCTGTTGAGTGTATCTTCTATGAGCTTTCCTGATAGGCTGTGTTGATGACGAAAATAGAATAATCCATGTCTAGAGTATCTGGCGAGCCTCATAGTGGGTCCGAAGTTCTTCGTGAGTCAGTTTTGTTAAGCTAGGGTGTCTGCACCAGTAAGGAGTGAGTGTGGGATTGTGCATGGAAAGCCAAGTCACTTGTCTTGTAGGTTCCGTGTTTTCCTACTTTGGAAGTCCACAGTATAATTTGAAACAATCATTTGTGAGAAAGGCTGTCATGGGGCTTGTTTTTCTGATGGAGCCCCACTGTTGTCTCTGCTGTAGGAGGCTCCTGATTCCTTCCCACACACACCGATTGGCCACGGACATGCGCATGCGCAGTGTAATTAGACATGGGCGGCTCCTGGTTCCTTCTCACACACACCGATTGGCCACGGACATGCGCATGCGCAGCATAATTGCCGTGTCGTTCATGGCAGCACCAGACCATTTTACAGGATGGCCGCAGAAGTGACTCTTAACATCCCTATAAAACATCTCCAGGCAGGCAACACTGCTTTGATCTAGCACCAGTTCCTAAGTCTCTTTATCAGGAGACTCAACCAGGGGTGTGTTATTTGTTTTCAGTTATATGTCTAAGAAAACGCAAAGAAGCCCTGTTAGAATCACCGGTGGGTACCATGGTGTAAGCTACAACCGGAGGAGCTGGGTTGAGCATTTAAAGGTGGTTAAGGTTGGGTACATCCAAGTCTTCTTGTATGTTATTTCCCTTCTGTGAATTCTGTGCTTACAGCCGGGTGGCTCTTTGTTACTGTCTACTGATTGGAGCTGGAGAGATGGCTCAGCAGTTAAGAACGTTTACGTCTCTTGCAGAGGACCCGAGTTCATTCCTCAGCAGCCACAGGAGCGGACGCCCTCTTCTGGACTCTGTGAACATTGCACTCACATGTGCATACACCCACGTAGACACAAACACAGAATTTTTTTAAAACAAAAAGGAACTTATCAGTTAATTGAACAAACCAGATATTGACTTTGAAATTAAAGACTTAAACTGAAGTTCTGGGACATATCCCCGCCCCTAAATGGTCTGTAAAGAGTTTTATGAGTTCAGTTATTTTCATTAACTTCCAACAGAAGTTTAACACGGTTTTCTGTGGTCAGACTGGAAGACTAGGCTGGGTGTCAGCCTCAGGACATGCAACTTTGTTACCAGTGCAGGTCAGGGATGTTTAGGTGCCGCATGGCAGGGCTAAGCACTGTAAAACCTGCCTCTGCCCGTCACTGGGGACAGACACTGGGCACTGTTTTAGCGGGGTGGACCTAAGCAGCTCTTATGTCAGCTGCTTTGGTTTGCCTTGGGTTTCAGAACTGCAGGACACAGCTCTTGCTGTTTGCAGGGCTAGAAGTGCAGGTGGTGTGTGGAGGGCAAGCCCTGCTCTGTGCCTGGTGTCCTGGGTTTTTATTTCTTTTTTTATTTGTTGTTTGTTTATTCTCAAGACAGGGTTTCACTGTGTAGTCCTGGCTGGCCTAGAACTCAGAAAGATCCATCTGCCTCTGCTTCCTGAGTCTTGAGATTGAAAGTGTGCATCCCCATGAGTGGCCCTGCTTCTTATGTGTGTGTGTGTGTGTGTGTTTTATATGTGTGCTCATATACGTATGTGCACACAGAGGCCAGAGGATGGCACTGTCTTCTATCCATCTCCAATGTATGTTTGTTGGTGTTTTTTTGTTGTTGTTGTTTCTGAGATAGGGTCTCACTACGTATCCCTGGCTGGCCTGGAACTCAGAGCTTCACCTGCCTCTGAAGTGCTAGCATTAGAGATGTTTGCCACCATGCTGTCTCACCTTACGTTTTGAGACAGGCTCTCTCACGGGACTTGAAGATCAGTGACTCAGCTTGAACTGGCTGGTCAGGGACCCCTAAGAACCAGAGCTGGGTTCACAGGTGCACGCCAGCACGCCTAGCTCCTTTAGTGCATCCCAGGGATTGATCTCTAGATCGTCCTGTTTGTACAGCAGACAGGTTATATCCACCGTGCTGTCATCCCGGCCCTGTTTGGGTTTTGTGTATCTGTTTACATATCTGTAACCTGGAAACACATGACTCAGCACAGTGACTCACCAGTGTCAGGCCACTGTGGGTGGCTGAGAAGACATTGTCCACTGGCTCTCTTCTAGGTCCACTGTGGGCATTGTGTAGGGCGGTGTCTACTGTTGCTGGTGGAATTGAGGGTACAGGGCTCCCTAAGGTGAGAAACCAGAAGGGGGAGTTGTATCTCATTGTAAAACCAGAGTAGGTACATCCTAGCTATCCTCTTTGGGGGTGTAAGACCCCACCCTCATCCCCGGTGGACAGCCAGGCTCTGCCTCTGATCCTGGCCCTCATCTGCCTGGCTGAGAGGGAACACTTCGCCATCTTCCTTTCTATGTCAGACCTCCTTCCATACCAACCTTTCCAGAGTCACTTCATTCATTCAGAGAATTCATTCTCCATGGCTCACACAATATGTGGTGCATAGCCTGAAACAGCTTTATGCTGTGTGACATCCAGCTGCCTCAGGTGGTCTGATGGTGACCTGTGTGCAGTAGACGGGTCATGTGACACTCAGCGGATACCAAGCAGCAAGGTCACCATGTTTGTTCTTAGGTGGCCATGCTCCTGTTGGTCCTTCTTCCCCGGCCTCTTCTGCTTGACATAAACTGATCAAGAAGGTGATCTATGTCACACCCAGATCTGCTGACAACCCCACCTCAGAGGTTATCTGGAAAAGAGCAGGCCCTGAAGCAAACAGGTTTTGGAATGTCACCTCAGCCTTTGCTTTCAGTGTATAGTAATCCAGCCGTCCAGTGTGTGCAGGGTGGGGGTAATCCAGCCGTCCAGTGTGTGCAGAGTGGAGGTAATCCAGCCATCCAGTGTGTGCAGGGTGGGGGTAATCCAGCCGTCCAGTGTGTGCAGGGTGG